AGAGCTTATTGTTGGGATAGAACTAAAGTGGGTTGGACAAATATTCGTTAGTGGGGTGGGTTTTGTGAAGAACCTGCCCATATGGCCACAGGCCTACTATAGTACTCCTCCTTTCTATGTTCTTATGTAAACAACCTGTTATGTCTAGGGGCATTTATATTATTTAAAATAGAAAAAGAAACCACTCTAGTGCCACTTGTAACTTCACATTAAAAGTAAAAGTTAATTAGTCAATAATTTATTATAAGGAAGGGCACAAAAACTCACCTATAAAAAAAATATAATATATATTAAAAGTAAAATAGCATATACAACGTACAATCTACTCTACTACATATAACATCACCTTCACTCACACACAGTAGCTCACTAGCACACTGCCTGGAGTTTACCTGGAGAGAGTTCCGGGGGTCAACGCCCCCGCGGCCCGGTCTGTAACCAGGCCTCCTGGTGGATCAGAGCCCGATCACAGGCTGTTGCTGCTGGCTGCACGCAAACCAACGACGAGCCACAGCCCCGGCTGATCCGGAACTGAACTTTAGGTTGGTCCAGTCCAGCTTGAAGACTGCCAGGGGGCTGTTGGTAATCCCCCTTATGTGTGCTGGGAGGCAATTGAACAGTCTCGGGCCCCCCGACACTTAATTGTATGGTCTCTTAACGTCCTAGTGACACCCCTGCTTTTCATTGGGGGATGGTGCATCATCTGCCAAGTCCTTTTGCTTCGGTTGTGAGTGATTTTCGTGTGCAAGTTCGGTACTAGTCCCTCTAAGATTTTCCAGTGAAAATAATCATGTAAACCTCCCTCCTGCGTTTTCCCGGAGTACGGGTTTTGGAACCTCAAGCACTAGTAACACAAAATAAAAAAAACATTTTTTAAACATGAAGGCTCCATGACCCCCCCCCCCACCCTTCTTCTGTAGGCTGTACGAGTACTCTCCCAAAACTTAAATAGGCCTCTGCACACTAGGGTCTTACAATTAAACATGAGAGCACTGAAACACGAATAAAATTACCTATAGTATAAACAAAAAAACCTCACCAGCTCACCTACTCAAAAACAACTACATTTTCTCTGCTTCACCTACTGAAAAAAAACACACCTCACTCTACCCCCTCCACTCTCGCTCCTACCGGGAATAATACCGCCCATTTTTCAGTACAAATCCCGGAAAATGACATTGTATATGTAACTTGCCATGATTGTGACCAGATCTACCTGGAGTTCATTACCTTTGTAACTAGTTCAGCTATCATAACTTTGGGGTCCAGTCCCTGGACCCATTATGTACCTTTGTAATCTTTTGACTACCGCCCACAGGATCGGTATGGGGTGCATAATAAAGATATTAAACTAACTATATGGAGCGTTATTCTGGTTACACAATATTCACCAACACACTGCGTAACATAGTAACATATGTATAAATAACATAGGATAACCCGAAAATAAAGAGTACCAAGTAAAAAGGTCTTCAGGTGTTGTAAAGAGTCAGCCTAAGAGTGAACAGTAACACATCCACAAAGAACAATAACTGGCCACTATTGACAGAAATAAGACTCAGATCCTGTAAGGTGCAGATGTTGTCGCAGTGATTTATTCCCATTAGGTCGCTGTAAAATCTCATTATTTACATCTTAGTGGATGGGTTTATGAGTTGGGAAGAGGAGGAAGTTCGTGGGTGAGTTGGGAAGAAGATCGTGGGTTGATGAGTTCAGAGGAAGAGGAAGTTCGTGGGTGGGTTGATGAGTTGGGAGGAAGATCGTGGGGGTTGATGAGTTGAGAGGAAGAGGAGGAAGTTCGTAGGCGGGTTGATGAGTTGGGGGGAGAAGTTCGTGGGTGGGTTAATGAGCTGGGAGGAGGGGAGATTCGTGGGTGGGTTGATGAGTTGGGAGAAATCCATGGGTGGGTTGATGAGTTGGGAGGAGAAGTTCATGGTGGGTTGATGAGTTAGGAGAAGTTCACGGGTGGGTTGATGAGTAGAGAAGTTCATGGGTGGGTTGATGAGTTGGGAAAGGGGAAGTTGGTGGGGGGTTGATGAGCTGGGAGAAGTTCATGGGTGGTTTTGAGTTGAGAGGAGAAGTTTCATGGGTGGGTTGAGTTGGAAGGAGGAGAAGTTCGTGGTTGATGAGCTGGGAGAAATTCGTGGGTGGGTTTAATGCTGGAGGAGGAAGTTCTGGGGGATATGAGGAGGATTTCGTGGTGGGGTTGTTGCGGAGGAGGGAAATTTTTATGGTTTGATGAGTTGAGAGAAAGAGGAAGTTCGTTGGGGGGGGGTCGGGGGGGAAAAGGGTG